GGGGACCAGATTCCCGGGGTTTTGCGCCTATCCCAAGCACAATCAAAGCCCTGACCTGTGCTGATGATCAGGGTTCAATTTTCTCTTTGCTTCAGGAGAGGGAGCAGGCAAAGAACTGGAAAATAAAGGCTGTTGCCATCTCAAAGGAGCTCTGCACATCCAAGTCTGTTCTCCAGTGTCAGAGTTCCAGGGAAGGCTTGGGGGTAGGGAGGGGGGGCATTTGTGGGTGTGAGTTTCGGCTCAAAATGACAATTACTGTTAGCCCAGGAGCACATTTCCAAGAAACCATGCAAAGTTCAATCGAACTCTCTCTCCCCATGATGCAAAGCATTCGCTCCACCCCTTTCAGTTGTCACCCCAACCTAGTGATTTTCTTCTTGAATGATTATGGGGGAAGGTTGGAGATTTCATGAGGGTTTTTGATTTTTTTGGACTGTTTGGAGGATGTGGCTCCAGATACAAATCCATGGTAGGTAACATTCTGGTAATGTTGCCCTCTGTGCAAAAGCATGTGTGGGTTATCTGCTCCTTCTCCCCTAAAGTGGCAAGGAACAAACTCTTCGAACGCATCTTTAGATGCCAAGAAACTGTACCAAGACCCTCACTTGACTACTGGCAACGTTCTCCAGGTACCTTCAGGATAGCCCAGCCCGAACACAGGATGGGGTTCGTCACAAAAAGACCCTCCTGCTAGAAGAGAAAGGGCACACTGCCCAGTAGCAGATGCGGTCTGTGGCATAACATGGCACTGGCGAGCAGGGGCCACTGGCTGGCAGAGATGAGAGGGGAACCTGAAAAGGGTTAACATGCTGCCCTGGGAAAGGTTTTGTTCCTGGGAAGAATCTGGGTCAGCGCATTTCTGCGCCTTTGAAAAAGTCAGATGCTGAGCCGGGCGGCACTTGAAGACGTGTGCCAGGCAGAAAGGAGGCGACCGCCACCAAGAGAACCTCAAGCCCACGGGAAACTCCGCTTGTTTCAAAAGACACGGACCATTGTCTGTCATCACCACCTTTCCAGCTGCTGAGAATCAGAAAGAAAAGTCCTCCTCCATGGGCCCTGGGTTGCAGGTTCACAAAGGAGGCATTGTTCATCCTTTCTTCAGAACACGACAGGGCACAGCCCGGCTGCTGTGTGGCAAGAACACACACACAAAAACCCCAAAGTAGCCCCCGAGGCAAGAGGAAGTCAACCAAGCCTGTCTCGAGGGAAAGGCTTGGCTGCAGGAAGGGAGGGCTGTCCTGGAAGGTGGAAATGAGGCTTGGGAGGTAAATAGGGTCACGAGCTCAGAGGGCAGGTGTGGGAATCTTTCTGGAGCAGCTGCGTGAAGCTGGGTCTAGGCAGATGCGTCAGGAGGGTGTCCGGCTGCACCCGCCACTCACAGCTCCTTTAGGGCTTGAACCTCTTCACTGGGCTCAGTCTGCCAACGCGGCCAGCCCCTTTCCACCCTTCCTGCCCTCGCCATCTTCCTAAAGGAGCAGTTCCATGGCCCTTCTCTGCGCCAGAGCATCTCACAGCTCTCCAGCTTTCTCTGTTTTGTATTTTTTGGTTTTGGGCTCACCCAATGATGCTCAGGGTTTACATTCTGGCTCTGTGCTCAGGGGACCAGATGGGATGCGGGGATTGAATCTGAGGTTGGCCCCATGCAAGGCAAGTGCTTGAACCCATTATTATTTCCCCAGCAGCCTTTTAGTAAGACGCCCAAGGGGCTTTTGGTGTGGACTCAAGTCTCCCGCTTCAGCTCCAGCTTCTCACAGACCCTCCATTTCAGACCAGGATTCCTGAATGAGGACCCCACATGCCCCCAATGCCCGTTTTCACGGATACATACTCTGTGCTCATATAGATGTGGTTTGGGGTTTCTTCTTGGTTTTTCTGACTTTTTGGGCCATCATCTAGTCTTTTAAAAAAAAAAAGAAATATTAGAGGCCCTAGGGAAGGCACAGCAGGTAAGTCACTTGCCTTACACACGGTCAACCTGGACTTGATCCTGGCATCCCATATGGTCCCCAGAGCACTGCCTGGAGTGATTTCTGAGTGCAGAGTCAGGAGTAACTCCTGAGCATGGCCCGGTGTGGCCCCCAAATGAAAGAAGACAGGAGGGAGGGAGGGAAAAAGAGGGACAGAAGGGAGGAAGGAAGGAGGAAGGGAGGGAGGTTGGGAAGGAGGAAGGGAGGAAAGGAGGGAGGAAGGAAGGGAGGGAGGGAGGGAGGAAGGGAAGGAGGAAGGAAGGAAGGGAGGGAGAGAGGGAAGGAGGGAGGGAAGAAAGAAGGGAGGGAGAGAGGGAGGGAGGAAAGAAGGAAGGGAGGGAGGAAAGAAGGGAGGAAGGCAGGGAGGGAGGGAGGGAGGGAGGAAGGAAGGGTGGGAGGGAGGGAAGAAAGAAGGGAGGGAGGGAAGAAAGAAGGGAGGAAGGCAGGGAGGGAGGGAGGGAGAGAGGGAGGGAGGGAGGAAGGAAAGAAGGGAGACAGGGAGGGAGGAAAGAAGGGAGGGAGGAAAGAAGGAGGGAGGGAGGGAGGGAGGAAGGAAGGAAGGAAGGAAGGAAGGAAGGAAGGAAGGAAGGAAGGAAGGAAGGAAGGAAGGAAGAAGGAGAGAGCAAATCCGGGCCGGCCGGCGCTACGAGGTCTGATCGGAACCGGCAGGGTGCCGATTCCCGGGTCAAACGCGGGGCCTGGCACGGCGCTCGTGCCCAGAAGGAAGGCGAGGGGGTTTGCCCCCCACGGTCACCCAGAGCGCGGAACCCCGTCACCCCCAGCGAGCTATCTGGTGGGAAGCGTTTACAACATTCTCGCAGTGGGGAGCGGGGGGAGGAAGGGATGAAGTGTCGAGAGAAGTGTGCGCCTGGCGAGCGGCTGCCGCGGACGGACGGGTTGGGAGGTCTGGGGCGGGGGGCGGGGTGACTTCAAACGGGAGGCTCGGCGGCGGCGGCGCGGCCACCAGCACGGGGCGGGGGGGCGGAAGGCGCGGGGGCGCCGGGGCCGGCGGCGCGGGCCGGGGCAGCGCGCACCGCCCGCCCGCCCGCCCGCCCGCGCGGCCAGTCCCCCAGGGAGGCCGCCGCCAGAGCCCTGGCGCTCCCGGCCCGGCGCCCGCCACGTGGCACCCGGCGGCGGCGGCGGCGGCGGCTCCTCCCAGCGCGCGGCGGGCCAGCCGACAGCACGCAGCCGCCCGCGCCGCCCGCCTCCTCCCGGCCGCCCGCCGGCCGCCTCCCGGGCACGGCGAGGGGGAGCGGCCCGAGCCGCCCGGACCCGCGGAAGGGGCGGGCGGCGCGAAGCCGCCTTAACCGCAGCCGCCGCGCGGAGGCAGGAGGCCGACCCGGCCGCTTCCTAAGTGCGGTCAGGCATCTCGTGACCGCGGCGGGCGCCGAGGGCCCCGCGGGGAGGAGAGAGGGCGGGCCGGGAGCCCGGCGGCGGCGGCGGCGGCGGCAGCCCCCACCCCCGCCGCCCCCGGCTGCAAGCCGGCCGGGCCGTGCACGCAGTTAAAAATAAATAAATAAAATTAAATAAAAAAAAAAAGCCAGCCAGCCAGCAATCGGGGGTGGGGGTGGGATTGGAACGATTCCCCGCTTTCCACCTCGGGGCGTGCGCTCCCCGCCCGGAAGGGCTGACCTTGGCCTGGGGGTGGGGTGGCGCGTCTGGGTAAGCGCTGGGGCTGGGCTCCCGGCCCGCCGCCCCCCTCGGATTCCTAGCCCGGCGGGGGCCGGCCTAGGGCCCCCCCGACACGCACGCGCGCGCGCGCACACTCACACACACACACACCCCACACGCAGCGCGCGCCAATGAGCCCCGGCCAGGCGCAGGGGGCGGGGTTTTCCCAGGCTCGAGCACAGCAGCTGCTATTTACCTTCTTGGCTTCTCCCGGCGACCGGGAACCAGCCCCCGCGCTCCGCCGCCCGCCGCCGGCCCCCGCCTCCCCGCCCCCAGGGCGCGCGCGCACACACTCACACACACGCACACACACATCCTCCCCGGGCCCGGCCGCAGCCGCGGCGGCAATAAAACATCCTGGCACGTGCTCGGGCTCCAGGCGCGCCCTCGCCCGCCGGCTGATGTCAAACTGCAGCTCGGCTGGTGGAGTCCTTAAAGGGCCCGCGCGCGCGCGCCGGCTGCGGAGGCCGCCCCCGTGGCCTGCGGGGCGAGGAGGGGACCGGCGGCCGCCACCGCCCGCCCGCCACCTCGCCGGGCCGCGGAACCGGAGGCCTCCGGGTGGAAAGGGAAAGGGTGGCGCGGGCGCACGCGTGTCCCCGAGGCAGGACCATCAAAGCCCCCCTTGTGTTCATCTTTCATTTGCAATTCCATTTCCTCTGCGCCTAGTTGGAAATTATTCTGATTGTTTCCGCGGGGGGGGGGGCTAAGCGGGTCTGCGGAGCAGGTGGGGTTGGGAACGAGAATCAAAATACACCTAAATTTTGGAAAACCTGCCAATGTAAGGCAGAAAGCATCCCCCCCCCGTTTCTCCATGCCAAAAAATTTAAAAAGGTATTTTTTTTACGTGATTGATTTTCATTCACACACACTCTGCAATGAATGAGGGGAAATCGCTTAGATGTTCCAGTAGTACACCCTTTCGCCCCCCCTTTAACCACTACTATTTTTTAATCCCTATTCTAAATGTTATAGATATTATTTTTTTAAAAAAGCAGCTTAAACACACACACACACACTGAAACACACGAAATAAAGAGCAAAGTCCCTAGCACCCAAAGACACAAACTAAAACAGAACCAACTGCGGTGGCAAAAAAAAAAAAAATCTCTAAAGCAAAACCCAGCAAGGAGAGTAGCAAAGGGTTAAAATCCTTTTGATTGACGTTGTAGCCTCCGGTGCCCCGGGCTCAGGCGCGCGCCATTGGCCGCCAGGCCTTGTGCCTGGCGGCCAATGGGGGGGCGCGGTCCTCGAGCGGTGCCGCGTGTCTCCTCCTCCCATTGGCTGAAAGTTACTGTGGGAAAGAAAGTTTGGGAAGTTTCACACGAGCCGTTCGCGTGCAGTCCCAGATATATATAGAGGCCGCCAGGGCCTGGGGATCACACAGGATCCGGAGCTGGTGCTGATAACAGCGGAATCCCCCGTCTACCTCTCTCCTTGGTCCTGGAATAACGCTACCGATTTCTAAGTAGCCAAAAAATATAATAAACCTTCACTTGCTCAGTAGCTTTATGAAAGTCTCAAGCAGAGGGGACGTAAGCAAAAAAAATTTTGTGTGAAGAACTCCAAAAATAAAATCTCTAGGGATTAAAAAAAAAAAGAAAGAAAATGCCAGCTGATATAATGGAGAAAAATTCCTCGTCCCCGGTGGCTGCTACCCCCGCCAGTGTCAACACGACACCGGATAAACCAAAGACAGCATCTGAACACAGAAAGGTAAGGGCAGTCTCTGTGTATCTCTGCAGCCCCAAGGAATTTAGACGGGGTGGGGGTAAGGGTCCTCTCGCTCTTAAATCCAAGGGTGAAATGGCAGATCCCATGGGAACTCAGGGTCTTTATTTTTTTTTTAATTTTCTTTTACAGTCGTCAAAGCCCATCATGGAGAAAAGACGAAGAGCAAGAATAAATGAAAGTCTGAGCCAGCTGAAAACACTGATTTTGGATGCTCTTAAGAAAGATGTAAGTGGGGAATGGTCTTTTATTTTTTTAATTAAAAAGTAAATAAGATAGCATGTTTTAGGTACTAAAAGTGACCCCCCCCCGCCCCCAACCCCCATCCCCCCGGCTCCACCTCCGGCCGGCGGGATAGTCCCTCTCAGTCCTGCGCTCTCTGAGCCGGAGTCGGGAAGTCGGCGCCACGGGAGGAGGGGGTTGGGACCCCTCCCCCCGGCATTCCGAGGCCACTGGCAGAGAGGTCTTACTTTTCTCCCCGGCTTCCTCCTCGGTGCAGAGCTCGCGGCATTCCAAGCTGGAGAAGGCGGATATTCTGGAAATGACAGTGAAGCACCTCCGGAACCTGCAGCGGGCGCAGATGACGGGTAAGCGCGACTGGCCCGCCAGTCCCCCTCTGCGGGCGTCCCCCTCTCTCCCCGCGGTGATTTCTTCCAGACTTCCGCCCGTGGTTGTGAGAGGCATTCAGCTACATTTTACTGCCTTGGCTCACTCTTGCGTTCCCACGGTCTGGGGCTTATTTATAGCCACAACTCCAAGTTGTTACTGTTCCGGAAAGGGAGGGAGAGAGGTTGTAGTGGGCGCGGGCAGCAGGCGGCCGGGCCCCGGAGGAATCGGATTGGGGAGGGGGGGCGCGAAAGGAATCAGAACCGTGTCGGGTTTGAGCCGCCCTGCAGCAGCAGCCTGGGGGTCATCTGGTTTAGCGCTCTCCCCTCCCCCACTGGGGGGGGAACGGGGCTCGGCTGGAGGGAGGGCATTATCCAAGGTCACTTCGCGCGCAGGGCTTAGGGGGGAGGGGGCCGCTCTGGCGCTGAGGATGGTTTAAACGCTGTGACCGGGAAGGGGGAGGGACCGGGGCTCAGGTCCCCAACCAAGCTAGCCGGGAGGAGGAGGGTGAGGATGTCTTTTTTTTTTTTTTTAACCCACCTCGGAATAGCCAGAGGCGAGCCCGCGGGTGGCGGTCAGGGGGAACCCCGCGGGGACCTCCCAGGGCGGGAGGCGGCGGCCGGGCGGCGGCGCCGGAGCCCTTCGGTGACCCTGTCCTGTCTCCTCTCTGCCCCGCAGCCGCGCTCAGCACCGACCCGAGCGTGCTGGGGAAGTACCGCGCCGGTTTCAGCGAGTGCATGAACGAGGTGACCCGCTTCCTGTCCACGTGCGAGGGCGTGAACACCGAGGTGCGCACCCGGCTGCTCGGCCACCTGGCCAACTGCATGACCCAGATCAACGCCATGACCTACCCGGGGCAGCCGCACCCCGCCTTGCAGGCGCCGCCGCCTCCCCCGCCGGGACCCGGCGGCCCGCAGCACGCGCCGTTCGCGCCGCCTCCGCCGCTCGTGCCCATCCCCGCGGGCGCGGCGCCCCCTCCCGGCGGCGCGCCCTGCAAGCTGGGCAGCCCCGCCGCAGAAGCGGCCAAGGTGTTCGGCGGCTTCCAGGTGGTGCCGGCGCCCGACGGCCAGTTTGCCTTCCTCATCCCCAACGGGGCCTTCGCGCACAGCGGCCCCGTCATCCCCGTCTACGCCAACAGCGGGACCTCCGTGGGCCCCAACGCCGTGTCCCCGTCCAGCGGGCCCTCGCTCACAGCGGACTCCATGTGGAGGCCTTGGAGGAACTGAGGGACACAGTCCACCCCGCACCCTCCCGAATTCCCCCTCCCCCCATCTTCTTTCCTTGGGACACTAAACAGGAAACTCGGACGCTGGGAGAGAGGACTTTTGTGATTTTAAGTGGTTACTTTGTTATTTTTTTTAATTTCTAAAAAAAGTTACTTTTTGTAGAGAGCTGTATTAAGTGACTGACCATGCACTATATTTGTATATATTTTATATGTTCATATTGGATTGCGCCTTTGTATTATAAAAGTTGAGATGACATTTCGTTTTTTACACGAGATTTTTTTTTATGTGATGCCAAAGATGTTTGAAAATGCTCTTAAAATATCTTCCTTTTGGGAAGTTTATTTGAGAAAATATAATAAAAGAAAAACCGAGTGAAGGCTACTGTCTTCTAAGATCATTTCAGAGTTTGTTTTTTAAAATCAGTCTGTTGGCAGAATTTGAATGACAAGAGTCTTGAGAATTCAGGTCGGACTCTTTCTGTTAAAAAAAAATTGCTAAAAATACTCCACCCTTCCACCAACCTGCCCAGATCTCAATTCTGTTTGATTTGAAAAAAGAAAAAACCCAAAACCATCTGACAGGGTTTCCCTGATCATTGATTATGAAATCTCTTGAAGGGATTCAAAAATGTCTTCAGGATTGTGCTAATAACGTAAGGCATTCCCTGCTAGTCCTACCATCTCCTAAGCAAAGTTAATGGGAACTGATTTCACGAATTTCGTGGATCCAATGCTATTAGGAGTTGGGGGAGGGGGCTGCAGAACTCCTGCCTGGTAGGTAGCACTGCAGCATCCAAAGTAAAAAGTCTAGCACAGTCGCTTCCATCCTTCAGGTGTGCAGTTCTTTGGTTATAGCCAGCCCTTGGGCGCAGCTAGACGGTCCCTTGCCCCTGCGTCCAAAAGTTTGAAATGCCTCTCTGCACCCTCTTCAGGCAAGCTGAGAAGGTCAACAGATTCCTCCTGCCAAGGGACAGCTAGTTAGACTCCCAAGTGGAGCCTGAGCCCAGATGATTAACACCAGACATATGTTTTTGATAAGTTTCTGAGCTTGGCTCTAATAGAGAAAGCATGTGTGGACCTTGCTGGCAGGCACACAGGCCATCTTCCCCTTTTTATACAAACAGCAAGCGACCCCTTCGCTTGGTCATGCCCCATTTCCAGGCAAGATGTGGGCTCCAGATAGAAGCAAAAGGGTTGTCTCGGGTTTCAGCTCACATAACCCTCCTTAACAAGTCCTAACTCAAAGCGGACAGCTTTAAACTGTGCCAGGATCTGCAGGGAATTTCTTCCAAATCCCATCACAAAGGCTTGTCAGATTTTGTCAGATTTGGCCAGGTGTTTGACTGCATCCAGGTGTTGGGGAAATGAAAACCACGAGCCCAGCGAGACCAGACACATCAGCGTGCTGTGGGTCTGGCGGGCGCGCCCTCCTCCCAGTCGGACAATCCTCCCCGCCTGCCTCCTCCTTCCTCCCTCCTCTTCCCCCTCCCCCACCTTTTAGAATGGCTTCTGGGAGAAGGATGAGGCGGGAGAGATCAATCTTTGAAGCCTTCCTAACAAAGATAAAGCCAACGATTTTCTGTCTTGTTTCAAAAGCTTTCCTTTTCCCCGGCCTAGTTCCAGCCTTTCCCACAGGCCAGCATGGAGAGCTGCTGGATCATAGGAAAGGTCCAGCTGACCATCACTCCTCAAATACAGTCAAGGGGAGAAGTTTAAAAAGAGCGTTTTAAAAATTTGGCTCCTACTTGCCTCATTTGGTGGGTTGCCCCCCCCCACACACACAGACTTACACAGATATTCCTTTATACACATTTCCCCTCTCCTTTAAACACGGTAATGACAATCGTTCTATTAAGACACCAGCTCAAGCTCAAATGCTTCTTTTTTGTAAACCTGTCGTCCTCTGGCTCCAGTAGAAATCCTTCCCGGACCTAGCAGAAACAATCAGACTTCTGGCTTTTCGGCTTTATTTTTAAGACGATAGAATCCACACAGATAAAATGCACGCAGATAAGCAAGCAATTGAAGGCGAAATTTCTTTGTCCTTGCCCGTGTTGAAGGTGAACAGCTGAAAAAGCTACCCCACCCCAAGTACTGAACTGCTCCTTTGGGGGCCAAAGGAGTGCTAAGAAATGCAAAGGGAGTCTTGCAGGTTGAAAAGGGAGTTGATTTTCAGGTGTCCGGGTTCATACAGTCACCTAAGGCATTTGTTTCTCTACTACAGGGGGAGACCCCCAAGGCCGCCCTGGGGATTTTCGAGTTCTTGCACCAACTTCACTTTGTCACTTTGGATGAGTCACTTCCCCTCCTCTGAGACATTTCCAAGAGCGAAGAGAGAGAGAGAGAGAGGAGTGGGGGTGATCTCTGGGACCCCGTGCCCTCCTGCACCCAGGGCGGTTTCTGGCGTCCTCAGGCCGAGCTTCAAAGGCGCCTCCCTCTAGCCCCACTCCCTGCCCCCAACCCGGATCCCTGGGAGCCGGCCTCATTATGCGGCCTCGGGGCACACCCAGCAGCCCTTCCCCCGCCGCGGGCAGCGCCGGGGGCCACTCGAGAGATAAGGCCGGGCGCGGAGCAGCACGCCCGGATGCGGAACCCGGGCCTCCGGCGCGGCGCGCATTAGCCTCTCAAAGGAGACCCTCGGGGCCCCGGCCCCCCGCCGGCCCCGGCCGCCGCATCCGGAGCGGGAAAAGGCGCTGAACTGAAAGGAGGCGGGGGATGGGTGGGGGCTGGAGGGGGAGCGCAGGGGTGGGGCGCGGGGGCCGGGGACTCCTCCGAACCCTTTGGGCAGCAGCCGGCCTGCGCCGGGCCGTGCGGAACGCGGGTCCGGCCCCCTCCCCCCCACGCGCTTCGGAGCGCGGGGCACCCCGGGGTTAAGCCGGACCCCCTCCCGTCACCACTGTCGCGGGAAACCTGTCATTAAAGTCAATTAACTTTTCCCACACCCCGTGGCCGGGAACGGCCCGCTGCTCGCTTCCTCCCCGGCTCCTAAGTGCAACCAGATGGGCGGCCGCGCGGCCCCCGCCGGCGCGGCCCGGGGCTGGCGGGGAGGCGGCAGCGGCCCGGGGCCCCGCGCGGGCGCAGGCCAGGGCGGCCCCGCGGCCAAGGTGGTTTGCTCAGCAGGCCCGGCTGCTTTCTGGCAGGAAATGAATAGCTCCCAGATGAGCTCAGGCAACCTGAGAGGTCGTGAGAACGGCTCGAACCCCCGCCTGTGCAGCCGGCAGCCTGCCAGGCGGCGGGGGGAGCGGGCGGCGGCGGCGGGAGGCCGGCGCGGGGGGCGCGGAGGCGGGAGCCGCTGACACACGAGCCCGCGCCCGCGCCCGCGCCCGCTGACAGGCCGGCGGCCGCCCGCGCCCGCGCCGCCCCCGCTTCCCCCGCCGCGGGCCCCAGCGCCTCCCAAGCAGCCGGCCCGCGCCGCCCCGCGGGGCCTGGGGGTGGGGCCGCCTGCCAGTGTTTTTCCAGTTCCCCGGGTAGCTCCCGGGCCGCGTTCGGCAGTCGGGGAGCCTGGGCCGAGGCCAGTGGCCTGGGGGGCGGCGGGCGGGCGAGGGGCGGGGGTCGCTGCCTGCTGGCCGCCTGGCAAGCCGGAGTCAGGCCGAGGGGGGCTGCGGGGTGAGCAAGAGCGGGGGGCGGGGGTCGCCGCTCACAGAAGCCTGTCCGACGGCAGCTCCGGGCTTCCTCCAACTCCAGATGGGCACCGATTGTGCAGCGCGGGTGGGCCTGCACCTGGCCGACCCGGGTTTGATTCCTGGCAGCCCATACGGTGCCCTGAGCAGGGCCAGGAGTGATCCCGGAGCTCAGCGTGTGGCCCCAAGACCCCAGACCCCCCAAAAGTCCTTGCATCTCTGTTGGGGGATTTGCTCCAAGGGCTGAAGCTCATGCCTGGCATAGGCAGGGCTCTGGGTTCTCTCCCTGGCACCACCTGGTTGCCTGCCGTGGGTCCTAGCACCCCTGGAGAAGTGCCCCCCTCCCGGTTGAGGGCTTGAAACTTCTCAATTCTCATGCCCACTTCCTACCAAGTGGCCAGTAACAACCGTCACCCCCAAGAACCACAAGGCCCTGCCCTCGGTCTGCTCTCAGTCTAGCGAGGGAGAGACCAACACTCGGTGACTCATCCCAAGGCTGGGTGAGGTCAGTGCCAAGAGTGAAGTTTAAACAAAGGGCACCTGAGAACAGAGATGAATTCTGCTCAGGGAAGAAGCCAGGGTATGTTTGCCAGTGAGCTGGCTCTCCCGGCTGAGACGTGCAAGATGAGTTTAACAGGAAGAGAGGAAAAGAAGGGGGTGGGGGAAAACAGCACAGGGTTTGGGGGAAATTTCAGGAAATTTCGTCAAGGTTCTTGTATGAAAGCTTTTTAATATATAAATGGGTTTGGAGTTGGGCTCAGCAACCCTGGAGGGCGTGGTTTGCCCACAGTAGCCCAGATTAAGACCCCTGGGCCTATGTGTTCCTTCCTGCACTGCCAGGAGTAAAAACCTTTGCATGTGGCCCAAAGACCAAACACACATACACACACACACACACGCACACACACACACACACACACAACACGTTCTTTGGAGTTAGAAAGCATGCCTTTGCATGTGTGAGGTCCTGAGTTCAACCTCTGACACTCAAAGGGGGTGGGCGGAGGGGGAGCTCCGTATGCCCCCTTGCAAGACCCGGTTAATTACCTAACTTGCCTGTGCCCCTGCAAGGCAATCAATGGCCCCCCTCCACCTCGGTTTTGTAACTCAGGCCTCCCTGGGTAGTATGTCATAGGATTCTGGGGTGAAACGAGTACGTGTGCATAAAGCATGAAGAACCAAGCTTGGGACAGAAGCCGAATGTTCTGTTTGCTACACAGCCACAGTGCGGGTGTTCACCAAGCAAGAGACACCACCGTGCCAGGCCTCTGCCCTGCAATTTCAAATTCTGCTTATAATTGCAGTCTAGGTGCCAGGACTACTGCTTCTTTCTTATTCATACTTCTCCACATATTCATGCTAGAATTACTGCACAAAGCACAAAGCACCGTGGGGAGAAAGGGAGATAGAAGTAGAAATTTTTTTTAAAAATTTTTATTAGTGAGACATCATGAGGTACAGTTGTAGACTTACAAATTTTTGTGCTTGGGTTTCAATTATACAATGATCAAATACCCATGCCTCCACCAGTGCCCATTTCCCACCACCACGGATCCCAGTATCCCTCCCACCCCCCATCCCCCCATCCCCCCCATCCCAGCCTGTCTCTGTGGCAGGGCATTCCCTTTTGTTCTCTCTCTCCTTTTGGGTGTTGTGGTTTGCAAAGGAGGCATTGAGTGGCAATCATGTTTGGTCTATAGTCTACTTTCAGCATGCTTCTCCCATCCTGGGAGGATCCTCCCAACACCTTTATTTGG